CATGTAAAAAAAGGCAGTAAGTAGTTATGTGTAGTTGTGCATATTATGGTTTACTAAACTGAGATCTGATTATCCAAACTTGACCATTAAGTAGTCTAGCAAGCAAGGAAATAAAGAGTTGGGTTTTCACTGAAACAGGTTGAGTAAAAAAGCAATCTCACCATCAGAGACGAAGAACAATGCAGCTAAGAACTGAATTGTTAAAAGGTACTTTCTCAAATTATTTAATTGGAGTAATGTGCATAAAGGGAGAAAACACAAATGAAAGCAACGTGAATTAATATTGGACTCTCAGACTCAATTAATCCGTGCTCCTAAAGACACACTGCTTCTCCACACTATAATGCCTCTTGCAGTGGATCAGAGCACAGAGACCTGACCTATTGGAACTTCGCTCTTCTTCTTTCCAACAGCTACAACCCACCACTTGCCCTCCTGCCTTTTGCGCTTTTCTTCCAATCCCAGTTGCCAGTGACTTGCTTTTGGAACAGGCTGTGTCTGCCACCATCCTGAAGCACTTTGTTATATAAGGTGCTGTTTCAGACTCTTCACGGTTAGATAGGCTGTTATTACAGCTAGTGGTGGGGGAAACATAAAATATTCAAACTCACTGAGGCTCTTTCTTTTCAAAACTTGCCTTGGTTGTGTTCCTGAGCTTTTTTATTTTTTATTTAGCAGGGAAAATGTGCTCAATTTCTCACTAAAATGCACACTTTAACAGTGTGCATTTAATGTTTATGGCACACTTGCATTATTTAAAAACAGGAAATAAATTCTTATACATTTCTAGTTTCACCCCTGTGCTGCGGAAACATTCCACAGAGCTAGGATAGCTGCTTTCGTGAATGCCTGTGGCAATAATTCTGGGGAGGGGGGGGGGGAATGTAATAATTCCCTCCTTTTTTAATGGGTAACCTGATTTTACAACAAATTTAATTTGTTCCAGTTGACAGAACTTTCTTAGCCTTTTGCAATCAATACTGTATTAAATGTATTATAATATATATAATCAATCACATAGATAGATAGATAGATAGATAGATAGATAGATAGATTAGATAGGTGATATAGCAGGATATATTATGTTGGTGTATTTTGATGTGTTATTGTTTTAAGCTGCTCAAGATACAAATTCCATCATAAATCAATACAAATATTATATTATCAGTGCCATTCACATGCCTGCTCAAAAGAGGTGTGTATAACCTGATCTGTGATCAGAGACAAAGGACTTGTATCTTATCCCAGGCCCTGTTACACAATATTCTTGCCCACTTTCCATCCTTCCACATTTCACTTCATTTATAATAAAACTTTTTCACCAGCATCAGCCATAATACTGAGTCACCTCAATCAATCAGACTTTCATTTTAAAAATCCGACACTATGAGGCTTTTTCACCCCCATAAATATTATGAAATGTTTTGGAGAAAGCCTCATGATTCTCCAGAGTGCTCACTTCTATTTTCCTGCTTGTGATAAACTATGGAGGAAGAAAGAGTTTAACACCATTTCGAAAAGCATGTCTTCCTACTTAGAAATGTTGCTATTGTCATTCATGTCACTATCGTAGTAATTGAAATCTGTTAGGATTGATGCTTTAGGCTTTGCCAAGCTTCCTTATCAGTATAAATGTCCAGGCCACTTTTCCTAGCCTTTTCTAGGAATCCAATGCAGATTCTCTTGATTTGTTCTTCTACATTTCCCACCACACATTTTGACCCAGTTCATATGCTATTTATGGTTGAATCCCACTTGGAAGTTAATGTACTTATTTTCTTCTTTTTCCTTCACAGTTTTTCTACAGAGCTCATTGACAATCATATCAGCCCCTGCTGACCTGATCCTCCTCCTTCCCCTCTTTCCAAGCAGACCAGGACAAAGGCTTTCTCACTTAAAGAAGGCTTATGTTAAAGCTGACCAGCTAGGCTAGCTCTGAGACACAAAAGAAGAGTATTGCAGATAGCTTTGTGAGGCAAGAGAAGACTATTGGAGAAGTCAAGAACAATGCTTTGGCATTTCAGTTGTTCATTTTCATCCCTCCTCCTCCTCCAAGTCAAAATCTGCATCCACAAACTTTGAAGCCTCTTATGTAGCAGGCGTGGGCCCAGTCTCTTTGTTCAATTACAACTGTTCAAAACTGAAGTGCCATTTAATATCACAACAAACAAAATTTATGTTTCATATGCTACATATGTTACCTGGGCCAAATAAAAGAAAGATTGATTAGATCAGGTACACATATTAGAAGCAAATGAACACATAACCAACACTGAATGGCTCCAAGGAACATAGGCCAGATTTACAATGCATGTCAAACCCCCCACTCTCGATACATGTAAGCCACAAAACTCAGAGGCTGACCTGCAACCAACCCACAGAGTGAAGTGTGGGCAGCAATAGCCTCTTGCTGCTGTCTGGATGGACAGCTTTGACCATGTCAATAATGCACTGGGAAGGGAGAGGGGAGGAGGACGGGAATTGGTGCAAGTCATTGGGTGCAGGCTCCTCCCCTCTCCACCCTTTTCAGTTGCTATGAGGCCCAGTTGCAGGCTTGGAGAGGTGGCAGACCAGTTCTTTCTGCACTGGCTGTGAAGGTGGGACAGCAGCTTGGCTTTCAGAGTCCCACTTCAGAGATGGGACTTGAAATAATCCTCTGCCCTTCCCAGACAATCTCACGACACCATAGGGTTACACCTTAACGGAAAAAGAAAAAGGGAAAATGGAAGGACAGGCGACCTAAGGTATGGAATAACTGAAAAATGTAGTTTGATTGGATTTCCATTTGTAGGTTCTGAGTTGTTATAGATGTGTGTAGAAATGTGAAGATTTGACTAGCACTTTAGCTGTGTGTTTTGTTATCTCTGTGTACAAAGGTTAAAAGGAAAGGCAGTAGGAAAATGAAATGAGCTAGTTGTTGCAAAGGTAGAACAGTATAAACTGCTTGTCCTTCGTATTTTCAGTTCAGTTCTTGAAATTATAACAGTAGAGCAACACTATGGCATCAGAAGCTAATATGAACTTACCCAAAACATTTTTGTCATAGTAATGCCATAGCCATTGAGACACACAGCTAAACAGAGAGTTCCATTAATATGGTATGGACACCTTCATCTGGTGCCAACATGCATCCAAAACTATGCCCGATGACAGTGCTATAGGAGTTATTTCTGACTGATAAGCTATATGGGCTTCTTGAAGCATCATTATATTTAACATTTTCATTATATATAAATTTGACTTAAAGACGAATTTACATTTACTTAGGAATGGAGCTCATTTGCAACCCAGGGACTGCCTGTCATCATAACCACCAGGTGTGACACAGAAAGAGGCAGAATGAACTTAATTGCATTTTCCATGAAGAAGGACGCAGAAAAGAAATAAGAGCCAACTTCTTCTGCATCTTTCATCCAGCAACTGAGAAGTAGACCATAGTAAGCCATATTGAATAGAAAGAGGCTAAATAGGGAAGGGGAGAGAGAGAGAGAGGCTAAGGCCTCAGCTGGTCCCAGAACCAGAGCAGAGCAAAAAGGTTCCTTCTCAGCCCCAGCCCTCCAAATCCAGTCAGCAAGTTGGGTATGTCCATGCCAATAACGGAACTGCAGGTGGCACAGTGGTTTAAACCACTGGGCTGGTAGATCGAAAGGTTGCTGATTTGAATCTGCACGATGGGGTGAGTTCCCATTGCTCCGTCCCAGCTCCTGCCAACCTTGCAGTTTGAAAGCATGCAAATGCAAGTAGATGAAAAGGTACCACTTCGGTGGGCAGGTAACAGCGTTCCGTGCACTTCGGGGTTTAGTCATGCCGGCCACATGACCACGGAGACTGTCTGTGGACAAACGCTGGCTCCCTCGGCTAGGAAACGGAGATGAGCACCGCCCCCTAGAGTCAGGCATGACTGGACTTAATGTCAAGGGGAAACTTTTACCTTTACCTTTTATGGCAATAACCCCATTTCCTATAGTCCTGTGCAGTTCTACAGGGCACCTAACAAAGAGAGCCTTACACTGTATCCCTTGTGTCTTTTCAAATGTCAAGAATTGGTGAGAAATTGCCTTCTTTCTCATATGATTTAAACAAACTTAGTCAAGTTAAGATGTGATAAATTTCCACAAATAATAATGGTTATCCTAATAATAATAATGTGTAGATCCAAATATTACACCTTGAAGTCTAATTTATTTATTTCCACCTTAAACAGACAAACAAATAATCCCTTGTGCCTTTTAGGTGCTTGATTTCTACTTTCTTTCATGACATAAAAATGAAGAAAATTGATATTGCAGCCTTCAACATTCATATCTCTGTTAGAATATAAAATAGCTATCATCACAACATTTCATTTATTTTTTTCTGATGTAAAACCAATGACCCTGACAAAGAATATATTCCTAGTGCTGGTTTAAAAACACTAGGTTTTATTTTTATTTGTACAAATGCAAGCATTCCAGCTTTCATTAATTCTATTACCCAGTCACCCCATGTCAAGTACTGGTATATAATCAGCACAAATAATATTTCTAGATGGTTTGTTAGCATGCCTCTTTCAGAGATAGCATTTATCTCCCCAAAGTACTTAAGATTAGCAGATCCTGCTGCAATGAAATCCAACCCTGTTCCATGTGCCTCTTCTCAGTTCTTCCCCCCAGCCCCACCCTGCTTTTCTCCTTTTAGTGTTTGCAAAGACCCTACTTCAGTTCTCAAAACTGCCCATGAAATTGTTTAGATATTCCAGTTATTAATAACCATCTTCAACAACAACACTAGACTTTTATTCATATATTTATTTATTATATAGAATAAAGCCAGTGGCACTGGGAAATGCTCTCCTTCCTCCAGCTACAACTTGAGACAGCAGTGTCAGGATAGTCCTCTACACAACAAGAAAAAATAATGAGCCTGAACAAAACCCATACACGTTTCTATGGCTGTGAACTACTGTGTCCATAAGAATCAGTATTTGGACATGTCTTAAGAAGCAAAATGCAAGGACTCACATGGCACTGTTCGGAGGTAGAGATTGTCTCGGATTATCTGCTGGAGCTCGTGGTCCACTGAACCCTTCTGGAATCGTAAATTGAGGTAGTGACGAAGATCCTTATCCACAATGCCTCCTGGTAAAATTAACAAAGCATATACTGTTTAATAGAAAAGAAGGAAATAGGAGCCATCAGATTATTTCATGTTCAGTTAAATCTAAGGCTTTACTTACAATGTCGAGTCACTTCCCAGTTCTACAACTTTACAGAACATTTTCTTTTTCATTTGTTCTATCATAAGGGGTCCTTTCCAACCAGGAAAAAATATTGGTACCCAGATCCAAATATGTATATACATTATAAAATTGGCAGTTATGTAGTTAATTATTAATTTTAAAGCTTTTTTAGTCCTTAACTAAAAACCCCCCAGAGTGGTTTTTAATCCATGTCCAGCCCAAATTCACCATATCCCGTACAGCTGGTTGGTGTGGTCATTGGTACCCTAGAAGCTGGATTTACAAAATCACCAGATGTACAAGACCCATAACTGTAATGTTCTTCATTCAAATAGGAATACTGAATGAGTGTGTACAAACACTTCTGTGTGCAGGTCCTTCCCTGATATTTCCAACATGGATCTGAATGTTTTGGTTTATAGTTTGGATTTTTATTTGATAAAAAAGAAGATAACAATATTCATTAGCTAAGCAAATAGCTAATTCAAACAGCCTTCCATGACATGTCTTGCACACATTTGCTTCAAGTGCGATGTATTTTAGACATCCATAATTTATCCCACAGTTAATACACATTCTGAATTGTCTCAGCACTTCTGGCACAGTTTCTCAATCTCATCCTTTCAGCACATAAGGGTTAAAATAAAAGAATTTTAAAAACAACTTAAGGACAGGGGAAAAAGTATAGTGGAACTAGTGGGAAATTTGTTTATGGGACATCTGTACATGAGGTTTCTAATTCACCACTTTAGTGAGATTGAAGAGTTGGTTCTTCACATGTGCTATTTCTCAGTGTTCCTTTCTCTGCCTTTCTAACTATTCAAGGTGGTCTTGTGGTGCAGCTGTGTTGAAGTAAAATTGTGATATACACAAGCTTCTTACAGTGCTTTATTGCAAGATTACCAGGCTTTCCGCACTCTAAAAAAGCTGTAAAAATGGCTAAAAAGCAAAGGACTGGTCCTAGAGCCTGCCTCCCCTAACTAACATGACTGAGGAACCACAAATGAACAGTAAATGCCTCTTGTAAAGAAGCTCGAGGGCTATTGTGGAGAATAAGAGATATTTGTACCATTGCACATCTCTTATAGCTTTTTCTTTGCTGCTTTAAGAGGATGGGTTGGATCTTTGCTGCGCTCATGACCTTTCCTGAATATTCTTCTTAAGAAAATGACTGCTAGTCATTTTCACACAGACAGGAATTATTTATAGTGCACTCTTAACATGGCTACTCAGAAAGAAGAGCCATTAATACAGCTTACTTCTGAGCAAATGGGCATAGTTTGCAGCCTTAATTTATATCCTGTTTTTCTTCCAAAAATGGCACTTGGGGGGCTAATTTATAATTAAATACAAATTTATACAAAATCTTAAATGCAAAATTAAAGTGAACATTACAGTGTACCTGAGCACTTACACATAGTACAGCACATATTTATACAGCTTTTATTATGACTAGTTTATTGTTCCAAAGGCCTGCCAGGATGAACAAAAACATTTTTGCCTACAGAGAAGGATGATGGGGCAACCAACCTAGTCTCCACAGGCAGGGTGTTCACCTGGGAGCAGTCACTAAGAAGGCCCTGTCCTTAAACAACTAACCATGAACTACATGAGGTTGGAGCCTACTTTTTTTAAAAATTTCTCATTTCCTGTCCAAAATGGTGGGAAACCTCACCACTGAGTTTCTTACTGATCACATATGAACACGTACCCTAATCCATAATTTTTAAAAGAAACAGACATCTCAGTTACATGTGAAAGCTTCTTCCAAAGTTCAGCTTCATTTCACAGTACTAAATCCCATAACCAGGTATGAACAATGGTAATTAACCGTTTCTTATAAAGAACCTCATCATAATGTAAAATCTATCTGAATTACAGCTGTCTCTGTCAATGGCACTCATGACTACTGTTGTCAGGCAATTATTCCAGGGCTTACACAATTAGATAAGTTTGATCAAACTAAAAACTATACTGTTGGCATGCTCCAGCCATGACTTTGAGGAAATGTAATTTCAATAATACTGAAAAAGTATATCTAGGTTAGTCTATTTCTCCAAAGCTGCTAACCCAGCAAAAATTGCTGAAAAATATAGCATACATCACATACAAAGGGATATTAAACAATCTACCACTCATCAAAAGATCTAAGCCTGGGGGGAATCATTTTCAATTTTGATCAAATGATACAAATAAAAACAAGGAGGGTTACAATTTTCTCTAGTTGGACTGTTATAAAAAGTAGATTTCTGTAACCCACAGGTGTTGCAGATGGAGTTTTATTGCTGTGTTTTATTTCTAAGTTCAGAACTGGTTATAAAACAAACATTCCTTTTTTATTACTGTTGCTCATAAATGAAATATTTCTTCACCTAAAACCATTTTATTATATTTCCTTCTAAAATATATCTGGGATGACTCATGCAATTCTACTTACTCATCTTTTATCATATCACAGAACTTGATATGGTACATGCTTTGTTTTGTTTTTACTTTGAGAATATAATCAATTTCTTCTCAACCATGAACAATTTGCCTTGGAGCACAAATATACTAAGATTAGAAGTGAAACAATTTCATTTTCATTGAGATTCTAAAAATATTTCATGTAACTCCAGTTTAGGATTTCAACAGCATGACCTCTCTGACTTACAAAGAACAAGTTACTTAAAAAGCTGATTCAGACAACCATAATTACCACATGACAACGCCAAGTGCTTGTGAAAGGGTTCCTGTCAAACTGTAATTAGACGGCAACTTCTGTGCCACAGTGGAATTAAAAGTGAAATTTATCATGGAATAATATAATACAAACTTGTGGACTGAATACTCAATATTTAAGCTATTTATTGTGACCTCAGCCTCATACATGTTCAATACATTTTGTTTTTCTCCCAGTCCAAGCTGATGCAAGAAACCTGGAAATTTATGGTGTCCTAGTACAGCAACATATGTGGCAGGTATATGATGTTTGGCTGAAGAAGTGTTTTCACAAGCTGCTGGGCAGGCCTACCTTTAAAATCACCAAATATCTGCCTAAATCAACCCAGTAAATGGGACTTGGTTTTGCATCTATGCCAATTTACTCAATAGGCCAAGGTCTGTCTCATTAAAATTAATGGTAGCCTAGTGGGGATGGGAAAGAGGGCATTGTTTTTGTTCTGAAATAATCAACTACAGTTTAACTGCAATAATTACATTCATCCATTATGAAACCTATAACTTGAATTATTATGCATTATCATTCTGAGCAATATATTTTCAGTATATTATATAACAATAAAAATAACAAAACACTCACTCTATGGAATGCAGGTGTAACCCTGCAACTGGCTAATACAAGTAATTCAGAGATTTAACCCTGTGTGGCTATCAATTAATTCAAGGAAAAAATCTGACAAATCAAATACTCAAGTATTTATTTTATCAGAAATCTGACAACAGTTTGCCATATATACTTGACAACGGTACAATGCCACTTCCAAAAGAATACCTCCACTGCATACAAACAGACCGTTTTTACATTGTATCTACCAAAGCAACAAAGTAAGAAATCCCAGAACTGCTTGAGAAATCTTTAGCTAAGTCCACATTTTTCATATTGATGCTGAAGATGGATCCCTCTTGGGGGAACTGTAGTTTGGGTTTATGATTCATAAGATTAGGGAAAATCTCAGTCAATCAATCCCAAGTCACAGACTTCTACCCTTCCTCTTCCTGCTGCCTATTGACACATTCTGCTCCCCCTACTGAGGATAACATGGAAACAGGGTTAAACAGGTATGTTTGCATTTTCCCTGTTCTATACCTCCAGTTAGTTACTAGGCACATAGTCAGTGAGTAACATTTCTAAATAGCCGGCTTTACTCAGAATATTTGGTAGTTCAGTTCAACATCTAAAGCTTCTGTGGGCCCACATGGAGTTTGTTGTTTATAAGCATGGTTTGATTGATATTCACACAAACCCACAAAGGAAAATCTTTTTCTTTTTTTCTTTAAAGTCTGAGCCATACAGAATCATTAGCACATTTCATTTGATGAATTGTTATAAAACTGTAAATGAAACTAATTACTTAATAGTAGTTTAAATACTTACAATTACTCTTACTAAAATAGAGTTTGTTTGTTTATTATATTTATATCGTACTTTTTTCCTATCAAGGAACCCAAGGCAACTTATATCATTATCTTCCTCCTCTCATTCTTATCCTCAAAACAACAATCGTGTGCGGTAGGTTGGGCAGAGAGACAGTGACTGGCCCAAAGTTACCCAGTTTGCTCCATGGTTCAGTGAGAACTAGAACCCAGATCTCCTGAGTCCCAGTCCTGATTTTTTTATAGTATTCAGCAGCATAGCTGACTAGCTGTTTGACAAGGGAATGCCAGGAATTGTAGGACTGTAAGCTACTTTTATAGTGCAATCTTATATATGTCTTCTCAGAATTTATTTCAGTGGGACTTACTCCCAAGTAATGGAGCACAGAGCTGCAGAGTTAAAATCCTTCTAATGCCTTTCTACCACTAGGTGGATGTCATCAGTCTGGCCAATGGAAGAGCCAGAGGTTCTACAATTTAATTATACTTATCATATCATGTTCTTTTATAGGAATACTCCATGCACTGAGCTGTTAGAAGCAATGCAAAATTGAATCATAACTTACAACTGTGCACTAGATTTGAGAGATGTCTTTTTTCTTGATCACCTTGTGGTGAACATCCAAGCTGAACTGCTTTAGAAAATATTAAAATTTTGTGTCAACTTTTTAAGTTTTGCCCCACTCATAACCCCAATCATGAACAGGAGCGTAGTTGTCAGCCAAAAATTGCACAAACCATCTATTTTTGAGCAATGTGTTTGCTAGAAATATATACACTTTTAAAAATCTACATTTTGAAAAG